CCTGCCCATGGCAGGTGTGGTTGGAACTAGATGGTCTTTAAGGACCCTTCCAATCCCAACCATTTGATGATTCCGTGAAACGTAACCTCCATTTCTATTCCTTCCTAAGAGTATCCCCTCTGCCAGTTTTGCTACAGGTTCTTATGTTCTTGTAGCACTGGTACAAGGGTATTTGGGAGGGAATGACTGAATACACCTTGTGCAGATCAGGGGATGTAAGTCAGTAGCAGTTGGTCTCCTTAAACCACTGAGAGGTGTTTTGGGGAGGAGAACCAGGACTTTTGCTGCTCCCTGAACTGATGGGAGAGTGCCTGTTTCGCACTTATCTGGGCAGCAGCACCTTGGCTGCTCTCAGCAAACAGTGGCTGCTGCTTCCTCCCATTGTGTCTTGTGTGGAGCTGTCTGAGGAGCTGCAGGCTCAACCTAAGAATAGTGCAGACCCCAGGGTTTTGGCTCTGCATCCTGCATGTTGGCTTCTTTCCTGCCTGGGGTTGGAAAAAGCCTGGGAAAGGGTGTGTCCTGCAAAATGGGTTAAAATGTGTTGTTGGAGACTGTACTGCCTATAAATAACACGGAGGTGGGGCAGGGGAAGAGCTTCTGTTTCCTCCTTGGTACAGTAGCTCCGAGTACTCTTCTGCACAGGCCAGAAATAAAGTCCTGACCCTCTTGCTAGTGGGATGTGGCCCTGGACGTGGGCTTTACAACAGGCAATTTAGCTAATCCCTGTCTTAAAGCATCTTAAATGCCTCTTCTGGGCATTTCAGCCTTTATTTTTGTTGGATCTTTCACAGTTTAAGTCTCTTAATGCTTCTAACTACTTCTAGTATCAAGTTCACTTTTGGTATCCATCCCCTGGGGCCTGTTGCTGAGCTTTGTGGGGTCAGGCCTGCATCCCTGTAAATCAGATCCCAAAAGCTTGGTCTGTTGAGTCAACATCTCCCTTCCAAACCTCAACTTTTGAATCCTGTGGTTGATTGCAGTAAGATTTACCAAGGAGGTGGTCTGACTCTCAGCCAAGCATGTCTAACCACCTCCTAAGGAAGTAAGTTTTCCCTTATAATTTTGTAGAAACCCGACTTGGTAGCCTGTTTTGCTAATCTGCAGCTGGTTGATTCTGCAGTTAACTGCCTAAATTAGGGTTTTTATTTCCAATAGGGATAAAAGGCACCTGTGCTGATGCACAAATCAGCAGCAGGTCTCCCTGAATGCAGTGTGGGGTCAGTGGGGGATGCAGGGGTGATGCTCCACCATGAATGAGGTGAGGAACAGCACAAGGAAATCAGATGGTTGTTGGTGTCCTTGTCTTAGTTATAATTGGAGAATTTGTGTTTAAAACCAAAAGTAAACTGTGGGACATTGATTGCTGCAAACTCAGGCAACTTCAGGGTAGTTTTATGTGTCTGGGGCAGGCAAAGCTCTCTGTTCCCTTTCTACTGCATCTAGAGAACACCATAATAAATGTTTACCTCTATATTACCCTGGAAAACGAGTGAGAATAGCTGTAACTGAGCTTTTATCTTCTAGTTTTCTAACTGTTTACAGATCTATATTGGAGACTCCTCCCAAATTTTTTTGACATTTCACTGGTTCTTACTGAGTTGTCACCTTCCACCCAGCCTGGTGGTTCTGAGGGGACTTCAAGCCTGTATGATCTTTATTGTCCTTGACTGAAGAGGAAGGGCTGGGGAGTATTTTGTTTCCTGCTCTACCCTTTCTCAGCTGTGGGCAGGGTATGTCTCTCAAATTGTCACTCATCTTCCTTCCCTTTTGGTTCAACTTCACAGCTTTTTGTCTGCAGTGACTGGAGCCGAGGAGGGGTGGAGTGGTAACTTGTGAGGACAGACCCTCAAGAAAGCAGGCTTTCATCTCAGTGGTGATGGCAGCTGTTTAACGTCTAAGTGGCTTCTGTTCTATGGGATAGACCTAGATCCTCTTCTCCTGACTCTTAGAGAATTTTGGAATCACAGAATGGTTGGAAGGGACCTTAAAAGTCATCCATTTCTAACCTTACTGCCATGGGAAGGGACACCTTCTGCTAGACCAGGTTGCTCAGTCCCATCCAACCTGGCTTTCAGCACCTCCAGGGATGGGGCATCCACAGCTTCTCTGGGCAACCTGTGCCAGGGCCTCATCACCCTCATAATGAAGAATTTCTTCCCAGGATGTGCAGTAATGTTGCTTCCTTGCATGAGCCAGCTTGCTTTGCACATGGACAAAGCTGAGAAGGGAAGCAGAGTTAAAATAATCTATGCTGTTGCTGGGAGCACTGTTGGAAAGACAAATTCCTCCTGTCTTCTGGAGTACACACTATTCTCATTTTCAGTCGAATTGAGAGGGGGTTCTCTCCCATCCTGTATAGCTCTGTGTGCACTAAACTCAATTTTTAATTGGTTTAAAGTGTTTTAAAAATTTTAGTTGGTTGTGAGTGCTAGAATTTAAATATCACATATATCTTGCTTGCTTGATGTGGGCACAATTTTTTTTTTTAGATCAATCCACCCTTAAGGTTTATTTTATCTGAGCTGTGGTAGCAAACCCGTGCCTACAGCTGGTGGAAAACTGAGTTGACCCCAGTGAGTAGAGACATGTTTTTGAAGGGTAAAGGAAACTTCAGCCTTTTTCCAGTGTCAGGCAGCTGAGCCTGTGTCTGTGCCTGCCGTGGCTTGGCTCCCTGCAGGCCTTGGAAGAGGAGTGTGATGCCTTGCAGTCACTGCTCAGCCTGTTGCTCCAGAACCTTTCTGTGCCCCCTCATCTCCTTGAGTTTTCTAAGACCTGATGCTGCTTTAGTGTGGATTTAACATCACCCCTAAACACTGGGTCACAGCTACCAAATGACTCTGCTCCCTGTTAAGCTCCGGTAATCTTGGCTGGATTTCTGGTTTAATTTGGAGACAGCCTGCTGCAGCTCTGCACAGTAAATGCCCTATTAAGCAGTTAATTATTTCTCTATAATACTAGCTTTTATCTTTAATACAACAGTTTTACTGTCTCTGATAATTACACAGTCTCAGATAACTCTCTTAAATCTAATGAGGCATGACAAGCTGTGTTCAACAAGGCACCACACCATTAACTTCTTACCTCTTACTTGTCATCTTATCACACTGAATTACTGTATTTTGAGCCTGAGTGGCTGTGGGTACATAACATGTCACTTCTCATTAAGAAAATAATGAAAATCATCCCTGGTGCTCTCGTGGCCAGGTTAGTGGTCAGCTGGTGGTCTGAAGACCCTTCCAACACCTACTCTGCAGCATGATGGTCTTTGCCTGTGAGCTGAGGGTTGGTTTAAGTGCTTCAAACAGCTTGGTTGGTGCATGGGTCTCATGCTTGTGGGTAGATGAAATGCGAGTGGCCTTTTGAAGGGCATTGGAGATGGTAGACCTTGTCTGCACTGATGGAAGTCATTGCTGCAGGGATATCTTGTGGTAGGATTCAGTTGGATGAGGGAAAACAGGCTTTTTTTTCTGGACAGGGGTAGGACACAGATTGCTGCAGCAATGCCTGGTATAACTTAATTGATGCTTTGTTACTCATTAATGGCGATAACTGATCAGGTCATTGGAAAGCTGGTTTTCTGTGGATTTGAGAGTGGCACCAAAACCTCTGCATGTGCTTGACTGAAATGCTGGCGTTAGGGAGATTGTAGAATCATGGAATGGTTTGATTTGGAAGGGACCTTAAAGATCATTTTGTTCCAACCCCCTGCCATGGGCAGGGACACCTTCAACTAATTCAGATTGTTCCAAGCCCTGTCCAACCTGGCCTTGAACACTTCCAGGGATGGGGCAGATACAGCTTCCCTGGGCAACCTGTGCCAGTGCCTCATCGCCCTCACAGTACAGAACTTTTTCCTAATATCTAGTCTAAATATCTCTTCTTTTAGTTTAAAACAGTTCCCCATTGTCCTATTACTATTATCTTTTTGTATATTACCCTGCCACCTTGCCAGGAAAGGTAGTACAAAGCTGCCCTTTTGAAATGTCAAGGCTCCTGTCAAGGAAGTCCCTGCATCCTCCCAGACTGAACCAGGAAGGCATTTCCCAGGGGAATGAGCCCAGGCTGTCCCTTGGGGCAGGTGGTGTGGCTTCAGCCAGCAGCTTGAGTGCTCCAATACAGCTGGAGTGAACAGAGCAGTAACCTGACCTTGTGTTTTTTCAAGGAAGAGTTACTTCAGATATCTCATTCAGAGCCTGTGGTTGGTGGTACTGGAGCCATGTGTCTCAGACTGCTGCTCCACAGTGGTAGCCAGTGGGCATGCAAAATATTGTGTAATTGAAGTATTATTTTACTATTAGCTGGCACAAGCTTGGAACCATGCAGGCTCACAGGTTTTGGGGGCTGGCACTTCATGCTGGAGATGTGTGGGAGGTTCTGCTTCCTCAGAGATCCTCTGGTCCTGTTAACTGCAAGGAAGAGATTGCCTTAGTGCACTGCTGAGACTCAAAACCTTACCAGATTTTTGGGCTATGTCATTTCACTATCACTATCATGACTTCAAGTTGCCTGGAAAAATTATTAGGGCTGGTAGGTAGTGGTGAACCCTCTCTAGTTTCCCTTAGGTCATTGCCCATGGCATGGGAGTGCTGTTGCTGAGGGATGCCAGAAGCACACACTGATCTTCAAACACCTCTGCTGTTCATCCTCCTGACCCGTGGGTGCATGTCTTGCCTCTGGTTAGTTTGCATCAAGTCACAGAATGGAATCATTAAGGTTGGAAGAGCCCTCCAAGGTTGAGTCCACCCTTTAACCCAGCACTGCCAGGTCCACCACTGAACCATGTCTCTGAGCACCACATCTCCTTTCGAGCACTTGCAGGGACAGTGATTCCCCCACTACCCTGGGAAGGTCCTTTGGCTTTTCTCAGCTTCAGACTGGCAAATCCTGAGGGTCCTTTAGGATTTTTTTTGACTGCTGTTGTAGTGAAGGTGGGTGCAGGTTGCACATGTGTATCAGCTCAGCTCTGCTGGTTAATGGAACCTCTCTAATTCTCTTTGCAGTAAAACGATTTAAGGAACCAAAGGCAGAGAGGCGTCCCTGGAGGATATGGTGAGATTTTTCATTTGAAGCTTGAAAAGACCATGTATATAATATTATTTTCTCTTAGATTAACAATCTTCTAGGCCTGCTCTACACTTAGTCGTAAAATGAAATGTTCTGCTGCTGCTTCCCAAGGAAATCTCCATAAAGTAGCTGGTGCTCCCTAGAAATAAAATTCCCTGCCCAGCTGTTTCAGAAAAGCTTGTTTTACTGTAGGTGACTGAACCAAGGGTTATGGTCCCCTCCAGTCTGCTGACACACCTGCACCTGGGCTGTCTCCCAGACAGGGTCAAATTTTGTTCTTAAATTCAGTTAATCCCTTTGGTGTCCCCTGACCCAGCTCAGACATAGACCAGCAGCAGGTTTGGCTATGTGCTGATGTGAGGTAGCTGGGAATTGCTGTTGGCTTCAGACACCTCTACAAAGCACCTCTGTATCGCAGGATTTAGGGGCTGCTGAGAGGTGTGGGTGGGATCAGCACATGGTCAGGCTGGCTTGGCAGCAGGAGCTACCAGCCAATGTGATGAGAAACCTGCCAGTCACCTCGGTTTGGTTCTGTATCTAAAATAATTTCAGAATTCAATCCAGTTCTCTGTGTACAGGTGCAAAACTTGTAAGTAGCTGAACGCCTTCCCTGCACCTACTGCTGGCTGGAAAAGCTGAGGCTGAGCTGGAGGGTGAACTGCCCTTTGCTGCAGGGTAAAGCTCAGCAGCAGGTCTGCAAGGCTGAACTGCTGTGTGCTGAAGTGGGATTTATTTTTTAAGTGTTTGGAGTTGGCCAAACAGCTGTTTTTACAGCACATATAACCTCTTGGGCATCAGGAATGTATCCTGGAGGAAAGCAGATCCATGTGGGCCCTTCACTGTGTGACTGCTCTGCTGCTGGTGCTTCAGGGGACAGATCTCTTTGCCTTTTTGTTTTCTCTAGGTTTTATGATACCTCCAAGCAAGCAATAGGTGCCCTCTTCATCCACTTTGCCAATGTTTTCCTGTCAGATCTCACTGAAGAGGACCCTTGCTCTCTGTAAGTACACAGGGCACTTGCATTCATGCCCTACATCTGTCAAAGGAAGAAGCAGCATGTTGGGAAGGATCATACACGGTGAAAACCTTGGGATAAACCCTGCTGAGCTTATTTTTGGGGTCTGAGTTGTCTGTTTTGCAGTCTGCTGGTCCTGCTTGGGGGATTTCTAAGCCAGACTTCAGACTTAAAGTAGAAGTGTCACCTTTACTTCAGCCACTTTGCAGCTATAAATTTTGTTTCAGATTTAACCTCATCTCATTTTGAGAAACTCCTCTAGGCTTCAAAATGCTGCTGAAAACCTTCTGGTCTGTCTCCTTTTTATGTATTAAAGTGCTGCACCTTGATGTGTTTCTTTAAGCAGACACAAGTTTGGCTGGGGCTACATAAAACCTCTAAAATGATGTATTGTTGTTTTTTTTAAACAGACACTTTTAAAAGAAACCCTTTCATGCTTATGCTGTGCCCTTTGGGTGTGTTGTTTATTTTTAATGTGTGTTTTATGTTTCCCTGTGCTGCCTGACTTGTCATCCTGAACCAGGCAGCTTAAAAGCCTCCAGCCCTGTCCCTGGGCTTTGAGGCTCATACACTACATGTCCTGCCCAGTATAAACCACCAGAGCCTCATGTTTGTATTGAATACTCTGATTTCAGCAGCTGGAAACTGTAAAAAGCTAGTCTGAGCCTTTGGATGTAGGAAAACTTAATGTTGTGCACTCAAAGTGGATATCAAAAGCAGATTGTTGTTTTCAGTTTCTTGATTCAGAGGCAGTATTGAGTTCTGGAAAAGGAAATGTTCATTCCTGTAGCTCTGTGCTTGGCATTTTCTTCATGCTGCAGAAATCTGGCAGAAAATATTGCAATAATGGAAAACTGCACAAAAAAACATTAGCCTCAGATCTGTTTTTTTCTTTTTTCCTCTGGTGTTCATTAAAATACCAAGCTCTGGATTAGATCTTGAACCCTGCAAATCCCCAGAAGGTCCATGTGGCTCTCCTGCCTCTGGTGCTCTGTCCAGCGTCACTTAAACAACCAAAGCTGCCAAGCAAACCTGTCAAGCCCAAATATCCTGGTAGGGATGGGTTCAGCCCCTGGATCTGCAGTGGGGACCCTGAACTCAAGGCTTTTGGGAACCTCAGGGTGGCTGCTGCTGAGCCAGGGCTCATCACCTCTCCCAAAACCTGCCTCTGTCTGTGTCTCTGCTTGTAGGAGCCTCTTGCAGCTGCTCAGTAAAATGGACATTTTGCCTCTTCTGCTGCCCTATTTGTAGAGCAGCTGTGGTGTCCAAAAAGCTGCCATTTTCTTGTATGACATTCCAGAACAGTTTTGTTTCCCCTGAAGCTTGGGGTTTTGTCCTAATAAGAAAAAAAAGATGCTGCAAATGGGTAGCGTCGTATTTTGAGGGTAACTTTTAAGCAGGTCTAGCTCAGGAAGTATTTAATGCTATATGAATAAATGAGGAATGCCAGAGAGCTGATGGAGCCTGCTGCCTTCCCTCCTAAACAGGCTTTTAAACTAAAAAATTGCTGGTAAGGCTATAGGAAAAATCCAATAACAGAGAAAGGAAGGAAGGTTGGACAGTTAAGTGCAGTTATTGAAACTCTTGGGGGTTTTTATTGATTCCCATATTGAAATTAAATATTTTGAATAAGACTTAAGAACACAACTGAAACCTGAATTTCCTTCTGCTTTTAGCTACCTTATTAATTTCATCCTTGATGCCACACTGGGGATGCTGCTGATCTGGCTGGGTGTGAAAGTTGTCTCCTGGATCGTGCAGAACAAGAAATACACCTACTTGGTCTTTGGAGAGTATGGTAGGTGTCAGCTGCTCCACACAAAGGTGGCTGGGTTGTGTTCCCAGCTGGGAATGGGGAGAAGAAAATGGCAGGAACTACATTTTGGGGCTAAAACATGTGAGCCTTCTGTTACCCCTTCTCCAAGGAGCTCCTAGAGTGTGGTGTTAAATGCTGGGACATCATTAGATCATGGGTAACTCTTGCCTTGCCGAGCACACTTTTGAGTGTAGCAGGTTGGTGGTGAAAGGCTGAATGTTTCCTTGAGTGGATAATATATCCCAGGACATGCATAGGATAAATTAAGATGTTTGGGGGTAGTGGTGGTGACTTTTGTGGGATTCTTTCATGGGTTTTTCCCCTGCCTCTCCTTTCAAAACGTGGAGTTGTCCTTGCATTTCCCTTGAGCTGTAATAGGCATCAGCCAGGCACAGTGTGGCCCCAAAACTGAGTTCCCAAGTCTGGCCTCTCTCTTCTTAAATTCCTGCCTCGAGATGGAGAAGTATCAGAAAAGCTCCTCTCAGTCAGCCCCACTAGAGGGTAGCAGTTCCCTTCTGAAAGAGCAGAGCCAGCTTCCAGGAAGGCGTAGCTTTTCTGGCTTCAGGAAAGGGAAGAATTAACCCTTTGTAACTGTTTTACATTAAGTCTAATATACAAATGAATTCAGTCTTACATGAGAAAATACATCTTATTCATACAAATTGCATTCTCACCTTAATAATTGAGTCTGTTCTGAAGTTAGTCTTATTCCTTTGTGTTTTTAGTACATGGTCGGATAACTGAGCTGGTGAAACTTGGATCAAACTAGGATTAGCTTGGAGGCCCTACTGACTTGTTAATTTAGGCTCACAGTCAGCACATGTAAATGGATCATGGCAGAGGGTGAAGGGAATGGTTGGGTTTGTGAGGTAGCAGAAGCAGCTACAGATTGGGAATGAGATGACAACAGATGAATTGAAATGATGGGATGTGGAAGGGCCAGTTCTCCTCAAACCTGAGAGTGGCTTTAAATGCTTCATTGATTTCCAGAGCAGGTTCAGCATCCTGACAGCAGGCATTTGCTGGGGACTGTCTTTTTTTATTTTCCCTAATGGCTCATCCTTATAATAAAGTCACTTAAATGAGGCAGCAGAAGGAACCAGATATTCTTGGTTCAGGGACTGGCATTTTCCCCCTTTTGAGCAACAAGGGCTGGAAACCCAACCACAGCCATCCCAGGGCACAGCTCGAGCTCCACGTGCCACGTCTGCAGTTGAGCAGCAGCAAGGAAACATTAAAAGTGTATTGACAGAGCAGTGATGAACTTCTGTTGAGCTGCAGCTGGCCCCTCATTAGGGCTGGCTTAGACTACAGAAACTGCTCATTCCTCTGAGAAAAATCTTGCTTTCATTAGTAGAAAATAAGTTTCTGCTGTTGCTTGAATTTGTTTCTTGAAGTGGGGGATTAAATGTCTCATCCACCAAATGGAGTTTTTGGTGCAGGTCTCTGTCCAGAGTGACCACAATGGAAAAGTTAGGTAGGAGCCAAGTGGCATGTCCAGGGCAATCCTGTTGCAGGGCTGGGGATGGAGAACACTGCTATTCTCATCTCTGGTGTTAAGTAACTTCCAAACCAGTTTGGAAGATGCTTGTAAACTTTGTACACTTTGATTCAGGCTCCAGGAACATGATTCATTTTCTGGCCTAATTGCTGTACCAGACTCGACGTTGCTTCCTCAGTTCCCCTGAGAAGCAAAAATGTCTCTTGCAGTCCTGCAGAGGAGGAAGGGCAGAAAAGCCAGGGAAGCACCAAATCCGTGTGGCAAACAGCAGTCAGTGCCATTGCTCTAAACATCAGGAGAGAAAGGTTGTGTCTTTGGCCGGTACAGCCAGGACCCATCTTCCTGCATCAGCTTGGAGCAAAAAAAAATCTGTTGTAGCTCCATCTTTCCAGCTTGTGGCTGCATCCCTGCAGCTGATGCAGACCACTGCAGATATCCTGAGGTTTGGGCTCCAGCAGCCCCTCCTGCTCTGTTTGGTTGGTACCCTTGCCTCCACAGCCCCTGGAGGTTCTCCCTGTGTGACTGCAAGAGCTTAATGGAGAAGCAAAAAAAAAAAAAACTGGGGAGGGAAAGCACCCAAATCCACACTGCTATTTCAAGCATCCAGCTGCCCAGAATTGTTTAGAAAAATCAATTACTTCCATATTTCTAAAAGCCCAGAAACAGTCATTGTGAGATCAACCTCTCTTGTGCTCGAGCTCGTGGCCAAACACTGCTGCAACCAGGAATGACCTGTTTTATAGCTAGTGCAGAGTCAAAGGCTCCTGTATGTTTGTGTTCTTCCATCTTTGCCCAAAAGCTCTTCATTACTCTCTGAGCTGCTTCTCAGCACAGGAAATTTCATTTTAAAAGGTGCTGCCTCTTCTAAGGTTGCTTGGCTCCTAAGATCAAAGACTGGAGAGGTGTATTCTTGGTACAAGTGAGCTTTGGGAAATGGTTGCCTTGCATATACTCAAAGCTACAAAGTCCCATCCCTGGAAGTATTCAAGGCCAGGTTGGATGGGGCTCTGAGCAACCTGGTCTAGTGGGAGGTGTCCCTGCCCATGGCAGGGGGGTTGGAACTGGATGATATTTTTAAGGTTCTTTCCAACCCAGACCATTCTGTGATGATTCTGTGGAACTCCACAAATACTCTGTGCACTATTGCTGTAGCAGGTCATGGCTGTAGGTGCTCTTCCTGTAGAGAACCTCTGCAGGGAGGAGAACAAAGCAGAGTTTAAGCTTCAAAGGACGTGAGAAGTGGATACCAGAGGTCTTGGAGGTGCTGCTGGGCCTATACAGACCGAGCAGGGGAGGTGCTGGCTGTAGTCAGGGTGTGCAGATCAAGCCTGATTCAGTTTTGTGCCTTGCCTCCAACCTGTTCCAGCCTTCTCCTTCCCCCATTCCCATGGCAGTGAGCAACTTCCTAGAGGGAACCTCTGGATGACTGCAGTGTCCTGGTGTTTTAGTTGTCTAATAACTCTCAAGCATTACTTTAAAAATACTCCAGTATTTTTTTAAAGTAAGTAAATGTTGTGAATTTGCATTGAGAGAGAGTTTTTGCAATGTGCAAGTAAATTTTTCTAGAGGAGCATTAAGAAATGAGGGGGATAAAAAGAGAGTGTTCTTACTGGACAGTGCCTCTCTGGATGCCCATCTGGATGTTGACTTGTGTGGGACTGTGGTTGTGGTCACTTAGCTGAGCCTGATGCTTTGTGCTCATTCAGAGTCTGGAAATGGAAAGGCATGTTGCTTGGAGGGTTTTAAAGTCTGTTTAGTGGCTTGTTGAACTCTGCTGGTCAAACTTAGCTCTAGGAGAATATGCTCTGTGCCAGCTGCTGAGTTTAACTGAGGACCTGTGTAGGCCGCTTTTGGCCCTGTGGTGATGTTGTACAAAATTTCCATAACACATATTCCCACGTCCTGGAGCAGCCAAGGGAGCTGGCTGCTAATGCTTGAGGAAATACAGCTGAAAATAGCTCTAACCTGAGAGGCTGTCCTGTCCTCAGCCTGCTTGGCCTTTCCACCCCTAAGACCAGGGGTGGAAAAGTAAGGAAAGGACTGAGGATCATCCTCAAATGGTAGAATGTGTGGTCAGGTCCCTTGCTCTGAGCAGGGGTGCAAAGCTTTGGAACTCCTGGATTTTGATGGCAGCAGCAGTGTTTACCCTGCTGCAGCAACAGTATCTCTACAGACCAGTGATTCCACTGGTGTGACACTGCAAACTGGGGACAGATTCCAACTATTCACTTGCTTTTTTCCAGTTCAGCACTGCAGCAGGTTGCCCAGAGAAGTTGTGGATGCCCCATCCCTGGAAGTGCTGAAAGCCAGGCTGGATGGGGCTCTGAGCAACCTGGTCTAGTGGAAGGTGTCCCTGCCCTGGGGTGCCTTCCAACCCACACCATTCTATGATTCAGTCGTTTTGGTTCAGATGCAAAACTTGCCAGAGAGGGTCTGTGGTGCCCACCAGACCTGTCTGGGTGTTCTGATGCATCAGGTGCCCATCTCTGAAAGTCTGTTCTTGCCCTCCAAGTGAGCACTTCAAGCAATTCAGATATTTCCTGCTATTTCTTACTTGCCTCTGTACTTGGCACTGACAGTTAGATCCCTTGGTTTTGGAGGTACTATTTGAGTATCTCTTTAAAAGTTTTTACTGACTTTTTCTGTCCCCACGTTGCCACCCAGTACAACTTTCAGTGCTTTTAAATGTTTGCCTTTCCTCAAAACCCCTGAACCCTCTGCTTTGGCTGTGGTTAAGCTTTTTGCTACCTGCTCCATGCACACACAGTCCCCAAAAGACTGTAAATAAAGCTGTCTGGCAGTAACATGTGGGCTGTGCTGACAGCTTGGTGCATTAGGCAGCTGGATTAAAACTAATCCTGTTGTGTGGTAACAGCTCAAATACCTCAAGCAGTGCTGCTTTTGCTCTGCCAGCAGTTGGGCTCCCACGCACAAGTGGAATATATGAAACATGTCTGTGTGAGGTTCCTGCAGGCTCCAGTGGTCCTTGGGCTGCTCCAAGAAAGTCTTGCTGATGGTGGGGAGCACCAGCAAGGTTCTGGAGGAGGAGAGTCAAAATTCAGCATGTGCATCCTTTGGGATGAAGGTGAAGGAGGATATTAATTTCTCTCGGGGTGGGAGATGGTTGTAAGGGGGTTTTAGCAAAGGGTGTTCATTAAGCTAAAAGGAGAGGCTTGTGATAGACTCAGTGTCTATCCATGGTCCTACCTTCCAGCTAGGACCGGGGACAAGAAGGTGAGAGGGCTCAAAGAGAGTGTGATACATATAATCTCCTAACAGGTATGATGTGGAGCCTGCAAAGATGCTTTGGACCAGTTCCCCACTCGTACAAGGAAAAGGAAGCTCTGAACACAGTGAGAAGGAAGACATCTATTTTATTTTAATTTATTTTTTAGCCTCCAGGTAGCAGATTCGTTTTTGCTGGCTGGCAGCGTGGTCTGGCAGAAAGTCTTGTACAAAGAATCCTTTCCTATCCACGAAG